GGCTCCCCGCTTATGCTAATGAAGCCCGGGAAATTCAAATCCCGGGCTTCATTAGCAAGTGCGGTATGCATACATTACCCCGCTAGTTCGAACTAGCGGGGTAGTGTAGACATACCCATAGAGTTTAAAGAGAAACTAGAGGTTAGGTCCATAAAAGGCTATTAGCCAGGGGATAAAATGGTGTCCTTGGCCTCTGTTTGTCAGAGGCTGGAGAGGGATGGCAGGAGACAAACCGCTTGATCATTGTCTTTGGTCCACCCTCTCTGCGGCACCTGGTGCTGGCCACTGTCGGCAGACAAGATACTGGGCTAGATGGACCTTTGGTCTGACCCAGTACGGCCATTTTTATGTTCTTATGTTCTTAAGCACTTTTGCAATATTTTGGCATTGCAAAATGTACCCTAGATATTTGCATAATAGGTATTTTACGCAAAATGTAACTGATTGGTAGATATGACTAGAACAACCAAGTCTCATTTTGCTATGAATTGGGTTTAGTAAGAACAATCAATAGGGCGGAATAAGCAGGATTGACCCACAGGTCCTGCTTTCAATGCAACAAGAAGAAATGGATCCCTTTATGCCGGCGACCCCAGCACCTGGCGTTCTGACACATGGGAAACAAAGGAAACATGACCCCCTGCCCGGCACTGTAGGTCACATACAGCTGAAGTGTAAGTGAACTAAGCTTAATTGTTGTATTATAACAGTCTTCTACGACTTGCTTTTGCATTGCTTTGTGCTGTATTCATTGCTTTAGATTTTAAACCTTCAATCTTTTAAATTGTACAGTGATTGTTTGGAAGCAGGGCCGGATTAAGCAGGGGGCTAGCTGGGCGGTTGCCCAGGGCACCAATCTATGGGGGGGGCGCCTGATTGAAGTGGTAAGGGGCGCCGCACGCCCGGGGACGGAGCTGCACATGCGTTGTGTGCCCACTGCCCGAAGCGCAAGTATGGCTCGGTCCAGCACTGTTTGTAAGGCTTGTAAAACTTAAATAACTGTGTTAACGCCCTCTCCCCGCACACTCCTGCACTCTAGCAAACAGCACAGGAGGGGAGGTGGGGCAGCAGCAACTGCCCAATTAAATCACCACGTCCAAAGCGGATCCATTTCAGTCAGCCTTGTCCAGTGATGTCTACCGCTGGGGGCACCACGTGCGGTGGCTGACGGAATCATCACAACACCCTGTACGAGCAGCCTAGGAAGCGCATAAACATCACTGTGATTTGGACCGCCAGGCCGCCCCCGACCCGCCAAATGGGGGTGCAAGGTAAAACATTTGGGGACCACTGACATAAGGGATTCAAAGGCCTGTGCAAACCCGATTGAACTATCAAGTCGTTGCACTTGCACAGAACCTATTCTCCACAGGATCTCAAGGAGCTGTAGTATGTAAGATCCTGGAAAAAATGTTGAAGGAGAAAGTAGTTAGAGACATTGAGACTAATGGCAATTGGGACAAATTACAACATGGTTTTACAAAAGGTAGATCGTGCCAAACCAACCTGATCTCCTTTTTTGAGAAAGTAACAGATTTTTTAGATAAAGGAAATGCAGTGGATCTAATCTACCTCGACTTTAGTAAGGCATTTGATACAGTACCACATGGGGAATTATTGGTTAAATTGGAAAAGATAGGGATTAATATGAAAGTTGAGAGGTGGATAAGCAACTGGTTAAAGGGGAGACTACAGCGGGTCATACTGAAAGGTAAACTGTCAGGTTGGAGGAAGGTTGCCAGCGGAGTTCCTCAGGGATCAGTTTTGGGGCCAATTTTATTTAATCTTTTTATTGCTGATCTTGGCACCAAAAGTGGAAGTGTCCTAATAAAATTTGCAGATGACACAGGGATGGCTGCCACAGCTGAAGCTGGCTGTTTGTGGCGGCTCTGGGGGAGGGGGGAGTATGTATTTTGGTGGACCAATAACATTTTATTTGCATATTTGCACTGTTATTTGCATAATGAATATGCAAATAAACTTACCAGTCCACCAAAAGTTTGTGAATGGATTTGCCTGTCCGTGGTTTAAGAAAGGTTGGGAGCCAATGGCCTTATTCTATTCAGAAATGCTTTATGGCTGTTCTAGAGACCGGATGCCAAAGCAAAGTCTTTTAAGGTATCTGGCTAAGCTTACTGTGTAATTTGATGAACACAAACTGTATTTCATAATCATACAGCAGCGAACGAAAGTGAGAAGAGTTTGGATTTGCATACTTGTACAACAGAAACAATCCCTGGCATTTGACAACCAAGTTAAAGAACACGTATTTAACAAACCAGCATAGTGGAAGCTCCCTGAAATACTGGCAGCAAAGCCCTGGCCGAATTATGAATTGGAAACCCCTTTCTAGTCTATGTTTGAGCTTAGATTCTCTTTAAACTTTTTTTTTATTGCTTCTCGGGTACTTTACAGCAGAGGCAGCCAGTTTACAGCATGAGGCCCAATTAAATATAAATAGCTTTTCGACCAACATGCAAAACCACCCTGTCCCGGTTCTGTCCTCCTTTTCACTTGTGTTGAAGCTTCTTTACCAGTTGCTTTGTGCTCTCATCAATGTTTCAGTCCATCCTCTGGGCTTGGGTTACTTCAGGTTGGCAGAGCGAAGGGATTGATTGCCCCAGCAGACTGTCAGCAGTAGGTGTAGTCATTCTGAGTTCTGTATTGGACATCCGTCTCCATTGCAGAGGTCAGGCGAGATCAAAAAAATAGCCACCAAGAAAGGATAAAGCAAAAAGTGGCACAAGACCTTTTAGCGCCTTCTTTTCCTGTTCAGTAGAGTCCTTCAGAGCAGACATTTCAGGGTGAGATTTTTGAAAGTACTGAAATGAGTTTGGAGCACAAATATTACTACAACTCAGTGTGGCTTGTGCTTGTAATTCATTTTAAAATCCCGCCACTGTTCTGGCAAGGGTGGTTCTGAGCTGACACTTAGGATACGTTTTGGTGTGGTTCGATGTATTTTAGATCCAAGGGAAACCAGGCACACAAGGGCTACTTAACCTCTTGCTTATTTATTGCAAGCTCTAAGCAGTTAATACAGTTGTTTAAGTTTTACAAGCCTTAAAAACAATTACTATACAATAAATTCTAAAGCAATGAATACAGCACAAAGCAGTGCAAAAGCAAGTCGTACCCCCCTCCCTTTGCTGCCTCTGTATCAGAGGGAGCAAAGCGCGGGGGGGAGGGAGGGCAGGGAAGCAGGAGCCAGAGCCAGGTTTAAAATCTAAAGCAATGAATACAGCACAAAGCAATGCAAAAGCAAGTCGTAGAGCCCATGAGGAGCTAGCTTAAAACCCACCACCTGGGTTGATGGGGAGCAACACCCAGGCTGCCCGGGTGGAGGCAGGATAAGGGATGCCCTGAAGGTAAGGTGGTGTGTTGGCTTCTGGCACGGCCTAGAGAATAGGGTGCTTGCTAGGGCAGGTAGCAGCGCAGAGGGTCCGAGGGGCCACCTGGAGCTGATCTACATGGGGAGCTCACAAGCTAGCACTGCAGCCTCATGCAGAGGCAGGGGGCAGGGGCAGGAACTGGTACTGGGGGCAGCCGGCTTAAAAGTTGGTTCTCTTAGCACCAACTTCAAGATGCCATTTGCCTCCCCCACACCCGTGCTGCAGCAGGACAGGCAGAGGGATGGGGAGGCTGCTGCTTGGACCCTCCCCTACGGACAGGGGCTACTGCCACTCCATGCTGCTGCCTCTTTATCGGGGTAGAGAGGCGGGGGAGGGGGGGAGGTGGCCCTTGGGAGTGGGGTCCAAGCGCACTGGTTGCCAGGGACTACAGAATAGTAATGTAACTGCTGCTAAGATTTCATGTGATTACGTGACTATTCAATTACACAACATCTAACAACCCTACTTGCTTCCATCCATCCAGAGGGGATGGAGTTAAGGGCACCGGCAGTAACTCACACCCTGCCATGTGCACATAGTCACTTTGTAGCACACCTAGGAATAGACCCCAGGCATCCTGATAGTCCTGGGTTTTCACTACTACACAGCTTTCTCCCCAAGCTGGGATTAAAATGTGTGCTCTGACCACTAGATCGCACTCCCCCAGCCTGGAACAAAGTTCCCTCTAACCTAGTAATAGAGATGTAGCTGTGCTGGTCTGATCTTGTTGAAACAAACCAAGGGCTATGCAGCACTTTAAAGACTAACAAAATATGTTTTATTAGGTGATGAGCTTATCACCTAATAAAACATCTTGTTAGTCTTTAAAGTGCTGCATAGCCCTTGGTTCCCTCTAACCTAGGCACTGCTTCAGTGGAGATCCTGATGTTTCTAAATCCCCTAGGAAAGCCTCACAGGCAAGTTGCCAGCTCTCATGTTCTTTTAGGATAGTTGATGTTAAGTTCCCTGCTCAAAACCATGCCCATGAAGTCACATGCCCTCCCCCCTCACCCCCACTGCCTCCCCCTGTGTGTAAACGTGGGCCATGCCACACTGACCTGAACACACATATTTCCACATTCCTAGTTCCCAGCCTTGGGGGACACCGAAAAGTTCGAGCTTGCGCCCTGGTGCCAGTCCTAAAGGCTGAGGAGCCAGAACGCGAGGGCGGGGGCGGCCCCACGGGATCTGCAAAACTTTTTTTTGCGTCCTGACTCATTTCGAAAGAAGCTTAAAAATGCATAACACAAGGGGGAGAACCCGGAGGGAGTCCCTGTGTGTGTGTGGGGGGGGAGCCTGGTGCGCACATTTCAGGGGCTCCATCCTCTAGCCCAGCTCTCTGCCTGCCCCTGCGCCCCGCCGGGGGGGGGTTACGGTTTAGGTGCCTGGCTCTGGGGCTGAGCGGAGCTGGGCGGTTCGGTGTCTCAGCCAGGCCGGGGCGGGAGGAGGCTGCAGCCAGAGGGGCGGGCAGGGAGCGGAAACTCTGCCCGGCCGCAGCGACGGGAGGAACCCGCCTGGGAAAACCGCAGCAGTAGCGGCCCAGTTGCCTTATCCCTGCGCACAGCCTCGCACCTCCTTATCTGGCCGCAAAACCCACAGCGGTTTCACTTTTTGCCTATACAGGCTCGGAGCGGCCGCAGGGGGAGCAGATGGGGGGGCGCCCCGAAACCGGCCCCCCAATTATCCTGGGTCCGCGTCATCCCCTCCCCGACCCACGGGGCGACTCGGCTTCCCCCTCCCCGCAAATCGCCCCTCTCCCAGCGCTGCGCAGCTTCCAGCCTCGTCCC